TTGTATGGAGCGGGTATATAACGTTAACCCTAACCCTAACCATAACTATTCATAGCCGCCACCTTCACTCCCTCCTATCTCCGGCGCCACCACCCGCTCGCCTATTTTTCCGATCAACAAAGACCACCTGTTGTCGCCACCTCCATTGTTGAGGTCGGAAACCACCAAGCCACAATAACTGCTGCCGATATCGCGTCCATCGGAGAGCGCTGAAGCCAACCGCCGGAGCAAATCTTTTCTACGTTGGAATGAGAGCACAACAGTCGGGGATTTGATGTTGTTGTGAACCACCAAAACCCTAGCCGCCGGTGACGATGTGAGCGACCGCTGCCTTCTCTGCCTGTTCTCTTTCTTTTTCGTCGCCATCCTCAGCCGCACGACACGGCAGTCGTCGGCACTGCGTGGAACTCGTGTTTGTATGTGCGTGTGTTGCTGCTGCGATTTCCCTCCCACCTCTCCATCCCTTCTGAAGCTTGTCCGGGCATTACCCGTTCTCTTTCTTACAAATATAATATATATTAAACTTTTTAATTATATACATAGTATAAGGTTTATTTTAAAACATTTTAAAATTCTAAGGGTTTATTCTTTTAATAAATTAAACTTTTAATTTAATTAAATTTAAACCATTTATGGATTTATTAATTATCTTTTAATTAATCACTTAATTAAATTAATAATAAAAACCATAATGATGTATTTTAAACTTTTCATAATACCAATTATTATTTAACATTAATTATTTAATTTAATTAATATCTAGATTTATTTATACTCTTAAAATAATCATATTAGTTAACAAAAAAACAATTAATTAAGCCAAATAATTATCTCCTAACTTCTAGGCGGTTAATTGATCATCATAGATACACCAAAATCAGATTTGGAGGATAAGTATAGCAAATAATTATCATATAAAAGCAGATTAGGCAGATAAGGCAGAAAATTCCGGATCTGACAGCTCAAAACGCCGTGTTTTATAATCACAGCGCCGTGTCGGAGGCCAACACACCGTGTTAGAAGAACACCACAACATGTTTTATGAACAAAATGACGATTCTGTTTTCTCCTCCTTGTTCAAGTTCACCATTGTATCAATTCAATAGAAAACTAAACCTACACTCTGATACCACTGATGGTTTTTGAGCATAACAAACAATCCTATGTGTGCATGCAACCCTAAATAATTTAATCTACATTTTCTCTAATTGAACATACAAGTTGAACAACAAAGTAGAAACCCTTGTACACTAGTATATAATCAAAATACACAATTAGGGTTATGAAAATCATACATGAATTGTTATGTAGTGATAACAATGAAAAAACCTTGTGTTGTTGAAGCCTTAAGAGCAAGCGCCACAAATATCGTGCCTCTAATGGTTCACACCCAACACTAGCAATAGGAAGTTGATGAAGAAGAAGGAGGGAGGTTGCAAATTTCGGCTGGTGCTTCAAAAGAAGAGGTGACAAAAAAATCTAGGGTTACAACCCTATTTATAATGCAGTCAGGAAACCCTAGATAAGTCCAAATCCAAGATTATCTTAAACCGGATAATTATCCACTTTCTTTGTTTATCCACTAGGGATTATTTTAGAAACCCTTAGGTTCAAAGAAATCGTCCCCACTATGTGGATAGGTCTAGATTGCCTCTTGCTCAACTATTGACCAATTACAATTCAATCCCTGCACTTTTAATTAATTCTTTTAATCCCGAAATTAATTCCAATTAATTTCTGATTAAATATTAATTAAATATTACTATTTCCAATTAATATATTATTCTCATAATATATTAACAAATCATTTATTTCAATTTATTAATCAATTAATAAATTCAGCCTCTCTCTTCAAAATCATTTGTCCAGTTACTAGTTTTGAGGGCAACCCAAATAGATTGTGCTACTATCAATTCAAATATATATACCAATTTATAGTTATGGGCTTAGACACCTAATCAAACTGAAAGGGACCAATATCACATTTTTATGGTTCATAGCACTCAAAAACGTCTGAAATGACAACTCTTATGGTTTATACTGTTGTAAACTCAACTAGTTGGCCAAGTACTCCCTACTTGGCCCCTTACCGAGGCGTGTTATAGAATCCAAGTACTCCCCGATCGGCCCCTTACTGAAGCGAGCAGTGTTGTAAAACTCAGACAACTCGGTGATTAATATGTATACTATACTTAATGATTTATTATTTAACACACACATGTGATTATTACTACATGTATATCTCTTAAATTTCAGTAATTATTCATGAAGTGAGACCATTGTGTGTTTTTCAGTTTTTTGTGTATTCACATGTATCTAATTTTGTTATATATTTCAATCAACTTATGATTTTTACTTATGATTTTGACATATATAATTACCCTAAAAAATTTTCGACATGAATTACCGAATCCGAGTACTCCCTGTGTACTCCCGAGTACTCGCCACTCGACAATCGTCCGAACAGCTACCGAGTAGCGAGTTCTACAACCTTGGGTTTAGAGTAAGCCATACTCTTGAATACCAAGACTATAGGACCAAAATGCATAAAATATTAAGAACTAGCAAGATCTAAGGAAACATTCATCAAGTTCATAACTTTATACCTTCTGGAGGTTGCTTGCAAGGTGAAAAACTCAGATCTACAAAGCTTAAAAGCTTTCCAAAAGCACTCCAAGGATCTTCTTCCTTTAAGGATTGACACAAAGCACACAAATGGCTCAAAAACTCACAATGAACATTAGGGTTTGCATGAATTCGTTTTGGGAGGATGGAGGCTGGAGGTGGAAAGGGTGTTGAGGGTTAAGGTTGCTTAAATAGTGCTCAAACCCTAAAAATTAGGGTTTACATATCTACTGAGTATGTCCTGCGTACCTCATGAGTACGCCCGACGTACTCACATGCACCTGCGATTCATTTAATGAGCTACGCCATGCATACGCCCCAAGTACGCATGACGTAAGGACCAAATTTGCAACATAATTATAATATGGGTCAAAATGGAAAATACCTGATATCTGGGTATTGCACTGTTGGATGAGCGGCATGGGGATTTTCGTGCAAAGATTGTGGTTGGTCAGATCAGGGCTTAGACTCTCTTTGTTCGAGAGTTCAAGGCTTGCGGAGCCCCAGAGTTCTTCGAGAGGCAGGGCCATATTGCTATGGATTGTTGACATGGAGAATACCCAACGGTTTAGTCTTTTCCTTAAGGAATCGAAGGTGGGATTTTCATCTTTCCTTTTGAGGGAGTATAGCCTGCGAATGGTGGGAGGAGGTTGGCCACTTCTTGGGAGTTGAGGGCGTGGTGGCTATTGTAACATCTGGTTCCCGGTATGTATTTAACTTATAAATTATTCATTTTTATAGAGCAACTCGACGAGTTGGAGGCCCCAGACTCGTCGAGTAGAGACATTTTGGACCGCGCGTTTTGGTAACCAACTCGACGAGTTGGCAGACCTCAACTCGACGAGTTGGCTGGGTAAAATGAAACCCTAATTCCAGGGTTTTGCACCCTATTTAAACACCTTAAACCTTTCATGCTGGCCTCATTTCCCAGCCTCCACTGTGCTAACCCTAAATATCGAAACCCTAAGGCATTTGTGATAGTTTGTAAGCCATTTTTGAGGGAGTTTTGTGTGGTTGAAGCTTGTGGAAGAAAGAGAAGCTTGGAGGAACGAGGAGGAGCCGTTGGATCCAACAACTTTGCTTCATTTTTGTCACTTTTCTGGTATAAAGCTTGAACCTTTCCTTGTAGTTGTTTAGATTTTCTTTTGGGGTTATTTTGCTTGGTTTTGGCCCAAATATCATGGTCCTTGGGAGTTGGACGTCCCAAATGAGTTAACACTTCAGATCTAGGGTCTTGAGGGATTTTCATGGCATAAAGGGGCCAACTTTATGGCCATGGAAGTCCCATGCAACCTTTAGACCATCATTTTGGCCTTTTAGAGCTTCTAATGGCCATGCATGTAGAGAAAGCTAGAACTTTATGTGATCTTTCAGTCCCTAGAGTCCAAATTTATGACCTCATGGTCTATCTTGTAGTTTTGGTGGTTTTGGATGAAGACTTTGGCCTTTTTGGGTTAGGGTTTGAGCTTAATATCATTATGAAAGGTATTAATGGGCAAAGTTGGAAACTTTCCCCTTCTAGAGGCATTTACAGTCTAGATCTGGAGTATAGGGTGTAGATCTGAAGAATAATGGCTTAATGCATTAAGAAGGATTAACAGACTGAAGAACTCGACGAGTTGTATTGGGAAGTTCCGATTCTGTTGAAAAGGAAGAACTCGACGAGTTCACGGAAGAACTCAACGAGTTGGATCGCGATTTCACGATTCTGTGATTCATGGGAACTCGGCGAGTTGAAGAGCAAACTCGACAAGTTGAGTCAACTCGGAGTGTTGACTTTGACTAGATTTTGACTTTGACTTGGACCAAAGCTGACCCTTAAGGGGTTATGAGTATGAAAGGGTAATTAAGGAAATCTTTTATGTGTAGGGGATTGAGTTGGGTTGATATTCGGAGTCGGGGACTGTTCAGCTACTTCCAGTTTTTGAGGTGAGTTACCTTCCCGGTATGAGTGGGTCGAAGGCACCAATGTCGGCCCATTAGTAGTTGATTAGAGATAATTGTCTGCGTGATAATTGTCTGGTATGCCACTATCTAATGAGATTTATGTGCTTATATGCTATGTTATTATGTGGTAGTGGTAGGAGGTGAAATAGACCCCGTAACCGGTTAAGATAAACCGGAGGGTAGGTCGAGCACCCAGATATGCTTGGCAGGGTAGGTTGGGCACCCAGATATGCCTGACAGGGTAGGTTGGGGACCCAGATATGTCTGACAGTATGTTTATGCTATGTTATTATGTGGTAGTGGTAGGGGCGAAATAGACCCCATAACCGGTTGAATTACACTAGAGGGTAGGTCGGGCACCCAAATATACCTGACAGGGTAGGTCGAGCACCCATATATGCTTGACAGGGTAGGTCGGGCACCCAGATATGTCTGATAGGGTAGGCCGGGCACCCAGATATGCTTGACAGTATATTGTTATGTGGTATGATGAGGGAACTCACTAAGCTTCGTGCTTACGGTTTTCAGTTTTGGTTTCAGGTACTTCTTCTTCGAAAGGAAAGGAGCCGACATGATCGCAACACATCACACTATGATTTTCCGCACATTAAATCTTTGGGAGTTGTACTCTGATGATGTTTTCTTATGGCATGTTTTGGTTATTGAGATATTGGTTTTTGATTATGATATGGGATGACACTATTGATGTTTTCAGACTACTGGTTTTTATAACTACATAATTAAAAATGAAATTTTTGGTAATGAATTTTAGGATGTTACAACTATGCTATGCCTTGGACAAATTTTGTGTCGGAATTCAGGGCAGAGTTTGCACTGACCTTTGAGGTGCAACATTTGACGAATAAGTTTTAGGACCTTCGCCGGACAACGGGGACCATGTCTTGGACCTTCACCTCCAAGTTCAGGGAGAGGGCCTTGTCGGTTTAGCAGTACGCTGCAGATGAGAAAATGAAGAAGACGGAGTATCATGATATGCTGCAGGATGATATTCAGAAGTTTGTGATCCTGTCGAGCTGCAAAACCTAGGATGATATGGTTGCTGAAGATAGAGCGAAGGTGGTCGCGATCTCTTAGCTGAAGATAGATAGAGGGGAATAGGAGAGAGAGAAAGAGATGTATTTTCTTTTTTATTTTTCTTTTAAGTATAAAAGTATTTAAATAAATAAATAAAACAGAAAAAACAAAAACCAAAGGCAAAATCGTCATTACAAAAAAGTTTAAAGTAAATTGAAACAAATGACAAGAAAATGAATAACCTTTAGACCATAAGTGATAGTACAAATTGTTAGACCATAAGTGATAGTACAAATTGTTTTAGGCAAAAATGATCATTTTCACTTAACCAGAGGAACCATTTTTGTAATTTTGTTTATAAATAAATAAAATCAAAAATAGAAAATTCTATTTTTAATTATTTTTCATATCCTTTCGGTTTTTGGTTTGTTGGATCCCAACCCAAGTATTGAACATTTGAACATCCCAAAATATGGGCCATATTCAAACACCCTCTAAAATCAATCAACGGCGATTGACAACTTGACGTCGGTGAGAACGCCGAAGTGAAAAAGCAATAGCGTAACCGCCTTCAGGGCCACAAGTTCCCCACAAGAGAAAGTAAGAGTGGTCGTTCGTTCTATTCAATTCGGATCATTCGTGGTAATATTTTGGGGTTTGAATTTTGTCAGTAGGTGAAGCATCTCCTCCGGACCGAATTTCGGGAGCTGTAATTTGTGAAAGCATGGGAGCTAATCCCGAGCTTGCAGCGCTATTTCCTGAGAAGAAGCGATCCAGAAATCCCTTCGTTCCAATTGGTAATTGTTTCTATTCAAAACCCTAGTTTTAGTTGCTGAAAAGTTACTCGAAATGTTATGGGTTGTTTCCCTTCATTGATTGTTCTTGTTTATTGTTGTTTCATCGATCAAAAGCCTAATTTTAATTACGATCATGTTTCTGCGTCGTACCTATTAAGCTTCTGTGTCTTGGTGATTTGTCTCTAATTTCTGTCCTTGAATATAGTGTGTATAATGTCTGGATTTGATAAGTTAACCATATTGCAGTGATGTTTGCATTAGGGTTTTTAGAATAGGTGATTGCTTGAAGTTGTTGTGGTATTAAGATCCTTATATTTAGGTTTTTTCTTCTTGATCCATGAGTATTGGTACCAATAGTTATATTATGTGATGTTTCTTTTCAACTTAATGGACATGGCTTAATCTGTTAAGCTATATATGAGTGTTAACTGTTAAGTTGATCCAATGTATGTCATGTCATGTCATGTCAGGTTATGACACTTTTTTTTGGTGGTTTTAGGTGCATTGATAACAGCCGGGGTGCTGACAGCCGGATTAATTAGCTTCAAGAAAGGGAACTCCCAGTTGGGACAGAGCTTGATGAGGGCTCGTGTGGTGGCTCAGGGTGCAACCGTTGCACTCATGGTTGGAACCGCAGCCTATTATGGTGACACATTTTGATGGTCTCTCACCATTACTTTGTCTCCTTTTATTTCTTTTAAAAAAAGACAGATAAATAATTGTTCTTTTGGTGAAATGTGGATGATATCAATTTGTTTTACATCTGGATTATATTCATCAACAGCGGCGTAAATGACACTTTTGTTTTTCATGTTTAATGGATTAAAAGAACATTGTTTGGCATCATTTATTTTCAAAAAACTAAAATTCGTTAAAAAACGGTTTAAAAACTGGACTGGTTTTTTAAGCGGTAAGTATAGGTGGTGCACAAAATCGGTTTAAAAACCGGACCGGTTTTTTAGGGCAAAATGTCTAACCGATCAAACTGGATTAAAACTGGTTTTTTGGTTAATCGGATCTATTTTATTTTTGCAATTTTTTTTACCAAAAACTATTTTCCAACAATTATTTAACTTCAATCAAATATATATTTGTGTCATAGTAAGGTAGAGGTTAAAATGTTTATTTTTAACAAATACATAAATAAAATCTATAGATGATTGTAATTCTGTTTTTAGTGAAAAAATAATCTAACTTGAAGCAGGTGAAAAGTTGTTAAAAACTCATTATTAAGGATAAATGCTGGATTTTCTGTAGTGTCTAGAGTAAAATAAAGATTAAATATCTGATTTTCATTTTAATCTTTACATGATTATATCCAAAAAAAATATATAAACATCCTTAACTTCGAACAAGTAGTTGTACCTTTTTTTCCCATAAAATGAGATCAAGAATCCATATCTTGTTACACTAAAAAAGCTTGAAAAAAGGAATTTTATTTTTATTTTTATTTTTAAATGTTACTAAATGTGGTTATGGTTGATATTATATAATTAGTATTAGTACGATATGATGAATTAAAGATGAAGAAAGAGACACAATCCAACACCAAGTGTACATAATTAAATCAAAGTAATTGTCATCAAGATTCTCATTTACTCTACTCTAAAACCAAGCAATTGACATGTTACCACTCCAACTTTCAAAATAATCCATACCTATATTTGCAAGCAACTTTCCTTTTTAAATAAAAAAAATTGCAAGCAACTATTATAACTTGCTTTAATTATAGTTTCATATTAGAAAATTTGAATACCTAAGTGTAAAACATGTGATTTTTATAGTTCATTGTAATATTATCGACATTACTTGGATAATCTTAAAAAATGTTACAAACTTATTGAACTTTACATATAAATATTGTATGTGCGAGTCAAAATATTAGAAATACATTGAGATAAAATTTTGAATATTTAAGGGTGTCTCGAAATAATTTGGGTTGCTAATATTTATTGAAACGCGTTTATTTGTAAAAATAAGTAAAAGATTGAAATAAAGTATAATGAAATACATTCATGATTGAAACATATCTTTCTACCAATATAGTTAAGCATCAATGAAGTTAGCAAATCAATATATATATATATATATATATATATATATATATATATATATATATATATATTATATATATATATATATATATATAGGGGCGGAACACAAGCATTATAACTAGGGGGCCGAAATTAAAATTTCAAAACAAAACTATATAGGCAAAAAAAAAAATTGTTCAGAATGATCACATATCAAAATTTGAAAGAAGAAAAATAGTAACAAATATTGTTATATTGCACTTGAAAGTGGAACTCGTCGATCTTTTGCATTTTTAAAGTCTTGTTGCAGCAGGAATACTAAACGTTGGGTTCTCCGCAACAGAAATGCTAGACGTTGGGGTATTTTCATCCAAAACAATCTCTAATGGTTTTATAGATTCTTGAATACAATGAATATGTTTTCTTTTAAATAACCGGACAATAATCGATTGGTTTTTTATGTTGATATGTATTATATAAATTAATTAACTAGCAATTAATAAATAACAAAGTATAATACTAATACTAAAATAAAATAACAACTAGAATTTAATAAATAGATGTTATTGAATTTTCTTTTATAACTATATGAAAGCCTAAACTAGATAATATGGTTGTGATTTTTATTAATTCCATTATATACCAATATATAAAATATATAAGTATATTCGTTTTAGACTTTTAGTGTTTACATATGGATTTTGCATTATATATATATATATATATATATATATATATATATATATATATATATATATAGTCTATGTACTATAAACCAATTTACACTCCACCATCACCATCATCCATCATCTATATATATATATATATATATATATATATATATATATATATATATATATATATATATATAGTCTATGTACTATAAACCAATTTTACACTCCACCATCACCATCATCCATCATCTCTCAAGTTTTTGGCATAAAGAAAGAGAAAGAGAGTAAAAGCCAAAGAGGGTTAAAGAGAGAGAAACCAGAGGGGAAAAAAATACATGTTTACCATTGTGGAGAGGAGATCGAAGAGGTCAAGAGGGTATCGGAAGGAGAGCATTCACTATTTTTCCGGCACCATCACACGACGGAGAAAAGAGATCGAAGCGGAGAAGCCACGTCCGACGACGAAGAAGCACTGGTCCAACGAGCGGCGAGAGAGACCGGTGTTGGAGATGCAGTTGGGCGGTGGGCGACAGTGTTATTCCGGTGAGATTTTGACGTTTCCGGCGTCGAAATTTCTTGGCCTTTATTGTTTTCTTAAACTCAAATCTTTGAGTTAAGAATTTTATATCTCTGATTCGATTTTTTTTCTTTTGTTTTATAGAGTTTAAGAGATTGTTTATTAGCTTAATTAGTTTCCTAATATCATATGGTTTCTTTTGATTTTATGAAGGATTCTTTTGATTTAATCAGTGATTTTCGGAATAATTTTATGGGTTAATAACAAAATTTTGTAACTTACATTACATAATCTTAGAACAGAAGGGGCCAAATGAGCAAATAGCAAAATATAATGATTAGTGGACTCATTTTATAAAAAAACTATATATATTTCAGGTGTTAGGAGGCTGAAAACCGGGGAGGCCATGGCCCCTCCCAGCCCCTATAAGCGTCCGCCACTGTATATATATATATATATATATATAATATATATATATATATATATATATATATATATATATATATATATATATATATATAATCCAAATACATAATGTTATAAGCTCGTTGTTCACTATTTCGATAAAAACAAATTAGACAATTTGGATTGGACTATTTGGTTCGGATGTTTAGATTATTTTTCAACAAAACCAATTTATAATTTTGGATTTGATGTTGGTTTTGACTTATAAAATAAGAACCAAATAGTCCAAAAATCTGAATAACAATTTATTATTTATTTATTTTGTAATATATATCTTTAAATATTTGTTAATTTGGTAAAATAGATTCAAAAAAGTTTCACCTAATAAAAAACCAAAATATATAATTTTTTTTTTCAAAAGTTGTTACCAATAAAAATTAAACTATAGTATATTTTTTAGTAGCCACTTTTGAGCACCAAGGTGAGAAGGGGCTGAGTGCGTGTGCCATAGATCCACATGGCAACGAGGTTTATCGAGATTGTGCCATGGCTCGTCTTTGTCATCCTTCGGACGGGAGGAGCCATCAAGATGTCCATAAACTCCATAAGCTCTGCAGTGGGTCTCGAAAAGGACTCTCCAAGAGTCACAGTTCAATGATTCAAGTCAAGAATCAAGGGAACAAATGACTTAATGTTGTTGATGCTAAAGGGTTTGAGATTTGCGTCTGCCATGAAAGAAAAGAAAGAGAAGAAGGTGGGAGCGACGACAACTAGGGTTAGATGGAGTAAATCTCTGATACCATAATGGAATGCAAATTATCACTCCCTCTTATTCCAAAACACGAATACATGTATATATATATATATATATATATATATATATATATATACAACATACAAGTATAAAGTTGGGCCTATACAGAACAATGATGGGCTAATATAGGGATGTGAATTTGGCCCGAAAACCTGAACCGAACCGAATTATACCCGAATAAGCAATTCGATTCGGTTTTTGGGTATCTATATAAGGCTTATTCGGGTTTCGGGTTATTCGGTCCGGGTTACCCCGAATAAGGGCTTATTCGGTCCAAAAGGACCGAACCGAATATGAAAAACCACATTTTCCCCCCTTGCACAATTGCTTAATCGGTCTTGTGTTCTATCGATCGTTACCCAAAATACCCACGTAATACACCAAAAAAAAATCAACGAAATCGATTGAGAGTAGCGTATTACACCAAATCAACGACATTACCCTATTGTATCCTATATGGTAAAAGGTATAACTTTATTATTTGTATACTTTTTTTTATAATTATATTTTAACATTTTCTATGTTTATGTTGATAGATATTTTGGGACTGCAAATCTCTACCGTGGCGTTAGAAGCGGCGTTTAGTGCAAGCGGGCGTATATTGGATCCATATCGAAAAAATTTGTCTGCAAATATAGTAGAGGCTTTGGTTTGCACTCAAGATTGGGTAAAGAAATCAAGAAAGCCAATTGTGGACAACATTGATGAAATTTTGAACGACGATGGGGGTCGCGAAAGCTTTAGAAGAGGCGATAAAGAACGAAGATAGAAAGGGAAAACAAGCAATTAATATTCCTGAATAGTTAATTCGTGTTTGAAAAATATTATTTTGGATATGGATAAAAAATTAAGATTCATATTTCAATTTGGACGTGGAATGTTTAATGTTTAACTTATATACTTATAGATAGATTTTTTGGTGTTTTGGATGTTTAATGTTTAGTGTTTAATATATTGCTTAATAACTATATCTTAAGATTGTGGTGGTTGGATTTTACATTTTATATATCAAGAATAGTTAATCAGTGTTATTCGTGTTTATCATAAGCTACAAAAGTCATACAAAATACAATATTTATAATCACATTGTAAATGTTATTTGGGTTATTCGGCTCCTTAATCATCTTGTACATGTTATTTGGGTTATTCGGGCCGGAACCGAACCGAGCCGAATAATACCCGAACCGAACCGAACCCGTATTGCTTATTTGGTTCGGGTTTCGGTTCATACAATTACCCTTATTCGGTTTTCGGTTTATTCGGGTTCGGGTCGGTTTGGTTCGGTTCCGACCCGAATAACATCCCTAGGCTAATCAATACATGGGCTAATGCCTAAGAGTAATATACACTAATAGTTGTTTATAAATTTGAAACTACACTATAACAAATAATTTGTTTTT